TTTATACACGTAAAAACAAAACAAACTCCGACAATAACAAATCAACAAAACACGCCAGCACCAGTTTTTTATTTTTATGAAATATTTTTGTCACATTTGGTTTTGAATAATATTAAATATTCATTCAATTCATAATATGTATCTAATGTACCTTGTTTTAAATGATTAAAATACTTTATTTTAAAAAATAAAGTGCTAATTAAAAATTGGTAATTACAAACAAACTCGGAACTAAGCGTAGTAAGTAAACAAAACCGCGGCGAAATAAAAAGAAGAGGAAAAACATGCAAACATGAAAAGACACAAGAAATACAAAATATAACACAAAAAGTTCGACTTCACGGCGAAGTTAACAACAGCAATTAATACCGGTGCGCTACACCAAAAAGCTCCGGTATGTTCGGTATAAAAGAAGGAACATTTGATATGATAGAGGACTTGGTTTTTGACTAGTGAAGAAGCAAGTACTCTGGCTCATTCGGCCTTCTGGTAAATTTTACCAAGGACTTAAATTTTCACTCATACAAAGACAAGTACACTGGCACATTTTGCCAAAACCTGGTTCCTTCAGCCAAATGTAGTTAGAAATTATTCTTGTCATATGTTTTACTTTTGAATTTTTTGTTTTAACCTGGCTCATTCGGCCAAATGATTATTTTCCACAGCACAGAGTAACCGGTTTTTTTACAACAGAGAAGGGGAACCCAGGACATCACGCTGTCCTGCCAGGAGTCTTTTAGGAAAACGAACCGAATCTAAAAGTAAAAAAACCTCGTCAACGAGTAATACAGTGAGCAGAAAACGTAAATCTACATTAAGGTCATAGTCACCCACAGCAGTAATAATTTCTGTGTGCCCGTCGTCACGGTGATGCACATTTTTTTTCTTTAGTTATTAAAAAAAGGAATACTTTAATTGAATTATAATTTATCATATGCTGAATAGTTTATTCATCAATTATTTAATTACACTTTGTTATAAGTTTCTTTTATGAAGTAAATAAAATATATAATTAACATATATAATCAACGTTCTTTTCTTCTAAAACTACGTCTCAGCAAAAATATAAATATATTGTCTCGACTCTGGACGACGGCTGAGAACACCCCAGCAAAAACTAAAGATTTTTGAACGTCACCCAAAAGTGACTTGAAAGTGTTTTTGAAAAACGTAAGTCGCGTTTGTGGTGCGCTCCGTGATTTTCGAAGTAGAACTTAGGAAAAAACTGACATTAAATACGGAAGTATCGCAAATATAATATAACTAGTCAAAGAACTCACCGAAAGTGGCGAATATCGCGCCCGCGGGGTTATATTATTAATTAATTAAATTCTAATTGTTCCGACCGGCAAAACAAAAGCATTTACTTTGCAAAGAAAAGAAATAAAAACAATTTTCGTCCGATATTTACATATTTAATAATTTATTACACTCACACTACAATCAGCTGATCTAGACAGCGTAGTGTTGCAAAACTACCAAACTTTTGCACAATGCGTTTAATTTTACATCGTGTAAAAAATTATATTGTGTAATTCAACTTGTGAACTTTTGTATGCAACATTAATAGCGCGGTTGTAAGTTGTGTTTTAAAAGATTAGCTAAACAGGTAAATATTTATTTATTATTACTGAAAATAATTCTGATTTTTGCGCGCCTGGCCAGTGATTTGGCTGTAAAATTGGAAGAAATTATTTTGAATTAAAAATACACATTCTACACTGCACTGTATTATCGACTTTAAATTGGGCCTAAAAGTAAATTACAATTATGGCACCTTCACCTGGAAAAAGCAAACAAAACAAAGCATCATGCGTGACTCTTTATTAGGAAGACAGAGATCGAACTCAGCTTGCGAAAGTTCAAAACTCGGTGATTCTACTCCAACCTTTAATAAGATAAGCGAGCCAGAAATAAAAGATCTTCAACAAAAAGTAATTGATTTGCAAGTATTATGCCAACAACTTAAAAAAGAAAATGAACGTCTTAAAACGGAAAATGCCAATTTGAAAACAGAGAAAGATTCAAATTCATTACCAACTAGTTGTTCGGTGGAGAAATCCCAAGAATATGTAACAGATGAAGAGGAGCTAGCAAAAGAGACGGATTGGATATTAAAGAAATCTAGACCCAATAAAAAACGTAGAGCAGAATCCTCACCTGAGGTAATCACTCAAGCCAAAAATGTTGAAAAAACTGAACCCAATAAAAGAAGTGAGCTACGCCCGCCTCCAATAGTGATTTCAAATGTTAATCAATATCAAGAACTGCAAAGTACTATTGAAAAAAATGTCAAAAACAAATTTTCAATACGATTACTTGGAAATGGTACTCAAAAAATCAATGTTTTTGATGGAGATGATTACAGATCTGTCACTAAAAGTCTCTCAAATTCAAACTTCAACTGGTTTTCGTACGAAAATAAGCAGATACGACCCATCAGAGTCATTGTAAAAAATTTGCATCATTCATGTGAAGAAGAAAGTATTGTTAGCGATTTGCAACAACAGGGCTTCAACGCATTGAGTGCTAAAAATAAACTTAAACAAAAAACAAAAGAACCATTAGACATATTTCTTCTAACGTTTGAACATAATGAAGACATCAATAAAATATTCGGAATAAAACATATTCTGCACTCAATAGTCAAAATCGAAGCTGTCAAGTCTCCCAAACTTATACCACAGTGTAAAAGCTGCCTGGGGTTTGGTCACACTAAGAATTATTGTAATAGGATACCGAGATGTGTTAAATACACAGGCAATTCACCTTACTATTAATTGCATAAAAGATGCTAACGAACAGCCAAAGTGTTGCAACTGTGGTGAAAACCATCCTGCGAACTACAGAGGGTGTGTTGCAGCTATTGAGCTGGAAAAAATTAGAAATAAACGAATAAGTAACCAGGAACAGAATAAAGAACTGCTTAGCAAACCAAAACCACTTTCCACACATACTACAAATAAAAAGCAAAATGTATCTTATGCACAAGCAGTTAAGAGTAATGGTAAAGTTAGCTATGCGAGCAATATGGAGCCAATAGCCACTTCTAGTACGAATAAACAAAATGAAGATGTACTCACACAAATCCTGCATAAACTTCAAAAGCAGGAGGTAGTAGCTAACGCAATACAAGTCCGACTAACTAAGCTAGAACAAAAACTCAACGAAAATTCAAAAAATAAAAAATGAAAAATTGCTTAACAATTATGACATGGAATGCGAACGGTCTGTTAAAACACCAAGAAGAATTAGAAATATTACTTAACATGGAACAAATCGATGTTTGCCTTGTGTCCGAAACACATTTTACTACACACTCTTTTATAGCATTCAAGAATTATTTCATATATCACACTATACATCCAGATAACTGTGCGAGAGGAGGAAGTGCTGTAATTATTCGAAAAAGCATAGATCATTATGAAGAAAACAAATGTAGTACTCAAATGTTTCAAACAACAACTGTCACTGTAAAAACAAATAATCAGCCTTTGTCAATAACTGCTATTTACAGTCCCCCAAGGCATACCATTACAGCAGAGGAATATAAACAGCTAATAGGAAGACACAAATTCAAGTTTATTGTAGGTGGAGATTTCAATGCAAAACACACTCATTGGGGCTCACGGATCACAACAACAAAGGGAAGAGAACTGTATAAGGCTGCAATAGAAACCGGATGCGAATTCATTTCAGCAGGAAAACCAACTTACTGGCCGACCGATCCAAATAAATTGCCTGATCTTATAGATTTCTTTCTCACTAAAAAAATATCATCAAATTACATGGAAATTAAACAAGGTTTAGATCTGTACTCCGACCATTCGCCAATATATTTAACTTTAAGTGATACAATCATAACGAAAAATCACGGTCCATACCTAACTAATAAATCTACAGATTGGAGCCTTTTTAAAGTGTTACTTGAAGACAGTGTAAACCTCTCAACTCCACTGAGCACTTGTGATGAACTTGAAAGAGACTATGATCAATTCATTAAGCAAATTCAAAGAGCGGCTTGGAGCAGTACTCCTGAATATAAAAGGAAAACTGTAGGGGAGAACTATCCAAGGGAAATTATGAGTCTAATAAAAGAAAAAAGGAAACTAAGGAAAAGATGGCATCAAACCCGATCTCCTTTAGATAAGAGCAGGCTTAATGAAGCTACTAAACGTTTAAAAGCTGAGATTCGTCTCATCAAAAATGAGTCAGTTAAATTATAAGTTAATTATATTTCATCACTTGGAGCTGACAAAAAATCAGAATACTCATTGTGGAAATCGACAAAATACTTAAAGAAACCCATTACCTACACACCAACATTTAAAGACAGCAATGGTAAATGGGCTAGAAGCAATGAGGAAAAAACCGAAGCTTTCGCAAATAACCTGACAAAAATATTTCAGCCTAATGATGTACAGTGTGAGGAATTACTGACTGCCACAGAGAGTAGAAATCAGCAAATCGATCGAATAACAAAACGCGAATTAAAATCAGCAATAAAAGATTTGAAATATAAAAAGGCGCCTGGCTTTGACCTTATAACATCCGAAGTTTTAAAACAGTTACCCGATAAAGCTGTTAACAAATTATTAATGCAATTCAATGCAACAATAAATTTAAAATATATTCCTAGCCTATGGAAAATCGCAGAAGTAAAAATGATTCCAAAAGCAGGCAAGCCGCTAGAATGCATATCGTCATGTAGACCAATTTCAATTTTACCAACTATTTCGAAGCTCTTTGAAAAGCTATTCTACAAGAGACTAATGCCTATAATAGAATCCGAAAAGCTAATACCAAACCATCAATTTGGTTTTCGTGGTAAGCATTCAACTATAGATCAAGTACACCGCATTGTCGATGAAATTGAAAGGGCTATTGAAGGTAAAAAAGTGTGTTCTGTTCAGAGGCGAGGCGTCGAATGGTTCAGAGTGTTCACTGAACACCTTAACAAAGCTTCCTTTTTAGATTTTTTTTATTGGTAAATAATTCGCTATATTGCTACTTAACATTTTTTATAATAGCTTTTCCAAACAGATTAACATAAACACAAAACGTAGAATACAAACAAAATCTCACATATGTTAGATACACCCAACATTGCTTATAATTAATAAAAAAGAAAACACATTCCTCTTGAAATATACTAAGGTTCAGAAAAAAACTGCACCGCGTTGCTTACAAAGCATGCAAATGAAATAACATTCACATTGGGACTATGTTCAATATTGAATACACAACACAAAACATACAAACAAATATATGTACGTAAAATAATCTTAACTCTTAGATTAATGCGTGCAAGCGGTTCAATATGTTATGCAAAGTAAATACAAAAGAGAAAAGAAATGACTGAGCGAAAATCGCTTTACATTTGACGAGAGGTTCATTCCATTAAACTGAACCAAAAGTTTATACAAAGCGTGCAAATACAATCAAAGTCACGGTTGCTGTTTTATATGGGCAAATGGTTCAGTAAAAAAACTGAACCGGGCATTGTAAATACAAAGTAAAAGAGTAAATGAATGCATGAGAGTTTCTTACTCTTATGTAGAGGTTGGAAATAAATCAAAACAAAGTCATTATTGCAATTTTATATTAGCAAATAGTAAAAGTAAAGAAAGAAATTAAAGAAATTTGAAGTGAAAAATAATATTTAGAAATGGATAAATGTGTGATTAAAGATTTGATTAAAAGATTTTAATCCATAAAATGAATAAACCAACTCCAGATATGAAGAATTTGATACCTGTTGTAAAAATGTCGAAATCTATGGTAAGTCGTCGTTTTCCTACAGCTACAGCTTTATGGTAAATAAAAACCAGTGGATCACATGCTGCGAACATTTAAATAAATTGTTTTGTTGGTTTTGTACGCTATTTGCTTGTGGAAAGGACAAAACTTAGAAGTAGGGGGAATACGTTATAGTTGGAATTCTGTTTTGATTAAATTGTGAACACCTTGCCACAAAACTGACGCCTCGCTACTGATTGTAGGTACGTAAAGAAAGAATATAGTGAAATAACATATTTTTGTATCAGAGTAGATATAAATATATACAACTATATGTATAAAAATTATTTTTATTAGTTACTTATTTGAACTCAACTGAAATTTAATAATAATATTTTGAAGAATCAACTTTGAGGAATATGTTTTTGACATTATAATTTGTTTTAGGTATTTATAAATATTTTAAGTTATTGGTAAGAATCAATATCCAAATTACAAACAGCTACAGATTCGTTAGACAATTGGACAAAAAGATGGTGTATCAAACTGAATTCTGCTAAATCGGTTCATGTAGATTTTACAATTAAAAATATACAGTACTTTCCTATTTCGATTCAAGGTACTCAGATACCATATGCCAACACTGCAAAATATCTTGGCATAACGTTGGACGCAAAACTACGATGGAAGGAACACATAAAAAAGAAAACTTGGATATGAAGTTGCGAAAAATGGATTGGCTGATTGCCCGCAAGTCCACACTATCTATGCCAAACAAGATTCTGCTATACAATTAAATTTTAAAACCTGTATGATCGTATGGCGCTGAACTATGGGGGAGCGCTAGCCAAAGTAACGTCGAAATAATCCAACGTTTCCAGAACAAGGTTCTACGGAACATTTTAAAAGCGTCATGGTACATTAGGAACAGCGATATACACCGATATAAAAAATAAGAAAGAGAGCAACAAGTCACAAACTGAGATTGCAGCAACATGTTAACACAGAAGCTGTTAACATCATAACCTCGCATGGACGACCAAGATGACTAAAACGGCGAAATGTCGCCGACATGGCATTGAATTAGAATGTTAAGTAATTTCTGTAGAAAATTGCTTATTTATATATATATAGTATTGATCAGATTCAAGCTACTC